TAATGCTCTCCCTCTGTAGCATCCACTTCTGCCGTTGTCAGAGGCAGGACCCCAGGCCTGACGCAAGGTAGAGCAGCCTTGGGGGTGATCTAACGTACGTCCAGGGGCGGCTGTCCTCTGTGGAGCCTGGTGCATCGCCTTGCACACTGCAGCAGATGCCTGCACGCACCTCCCTTGCACGCACAGCCGGGCTCTGGGCAAGCTCTGGAGAGCGGGGCCACATCTGCAGACCTGTTTCTTTCCCTCGTCGCAGGCTGGTGGGAATGACCCAGGAGCACGGCCACGTCGAGCCCGTCACAGGGGTGCTGGACTTCGGCAAGTTCCCCCTGGGCAGACTCCTCGCCTTGATCCCGTACCACGTGAGTAGGGAGCCCCACGGGACCGTGCCGGGGCTGGAGGGGGCTCTTCAGCCTCCCTGTGGGGTGGTTATCTCGGGGACAGTGCCCTGACCCATGTCCCACGCGCGTTGCAGGCCTGCGCCACCGCAGCCATGCACCCCGTCTACTACGTCCACGCCGAGGGCAAGGTCGTTGCCACGTGGAAGCCCGTCAGGGGCTGGTAGGAGAGCGATGGCGGCATCAAAACCCAGCCAGGCCACCTGCCCTCCAGAAAGCTGCTCCATCTGCCCCAACCCTGAGCCACGGCGCAGTTGCCTGCCGGCTCGGGGACCGGTGGGAAGGGAGCTGGCTGGGCCACGTCCCCGTGGATGGAGGGGTGGTCCTCACCAGGCAGCCTGTTCCAGCGCTTTATTAACCTCCTAGTGAGAAAGTTTTTCCTAATCTCCAACCTCAACTTCCCTCGCTGCAACTTGAGCCCACTGCTCCTTGTGCTGTCCACGCCGTATCATGGATTACAGGTGAACGCACAGCCGACGAGGCAAGAATAATCAGGTGAAGATGTTCCCCTCGTCCTGCGGTCATTAAAGGTGCCTCTTTTTCCGATTCATAAAAGCCAACCTAACCCCCTCGCGCATCCTGACAGTGCATCCGGCGCGCCGCCGACCGTTATTTCCGCACCCGAGCTCATATTCCCCTGAGTTCACGTTTCCACCCCCGAGTGAATGTTTCTAACTAGTTAAAAGCAGCCTGCGAAATAGGGGCTGCATCCCCAGGAGCAGCGAACAGGCAGGAGGATTGCAGAAGAAAGGCCGGCTCGCCTAGCGGACCCGTGAAAGGCCGCGGACGAGGAGAGAGGGGCGTTAACACGCGCGGAGTGAAGAGTTTAGCAGGAATCGGGTAGGTTGCAGCGAGCCGTGACGTTAAATGCCGGCCTCGCTGCTGCCCGACTAGAAATGCTGTTGCCACAGCCACGCAGCCGGGTCTAAACGCGGGTGGAGCAGGACTCAAAGCGGGGTGTAAATGCACCGCTGCACCCCCCGGATCTGACCCCGGCTGGGTGGATTTCCCCCACCTCCTGCCTTTGACAGCTGGGGACCCGAACGTGTTGGCACCTCCCCTGACTTGAGAGCCCCTGTCCGGCCTTACCGCCAGCTCTGGGGATGGGGATGGCGGTACGGAGAGGAAAGTGATGTGCCCGAGGCTGACCAGCGGGGCTGTGGCAGAGCTGGGGGCTAGATGCTCTGGGCCACATTGGTTTCCCAGCCCTGGAAGCAGGGGCCAGACGGGAAGACCTCCGGAGGGCTGGCCAGCCAAGGGGGTCACATGTTCCCCGCAACCCACCACATCCACGTCGCTCGTCTCCCCGCCGCCCGCTCTTTCCAGGCCCTGCAAGCAGGGGAGAGCGACAGGTCCCCTCCCATTGCCCCGGAGCCGTCTCCCAAGGTTTGCCCCCCCCGCAGGGCTTGGCCAGGCTGTCCTAATAGCAGGTAGCTCCTGCCCCCAGTCCGGCGGGCGTGGGGAAGCGGGAGGGGGGCAATCAAAAGATCTCCGGGCTTGAAAGGGAGCCGGGACCAGGCCATAAAATCCTATTGCCCTCGGCTGGGGGCCGGGATTGCAGTTGGCTGCTCTCTGATCTTCCTGTCAATAGTCCCTTTGAAGTCCCTCTGCTCCCACCAGCGCGTTCCCACCGGTTTGTCAGCTCCCCCCTGCCCTGGAGCAGGCCCTGGTGCCCCCGTCCCGCCTGAGCAAGGGGCGCGGGGACAGGACGAGGAGCCGAGGGGAAGGAGCAGGGCAGCCGGGCAGGTCTCGCCGAACTGTCTGGGGGTCTCTAGCTGGGGGGCTGTGACCTGCCCGCTCTGGGGCCGTCGGGTCGGTCCCGCTCGCCCGGGAGCAAAGCGCTCCCGGACTCGGAGGAGCGTGTCGGAGGGGTCAGGCGGGGAGATCCGCCCGAGCGCACGCGCTCCCCAGGCCCGCAGGGGTGTCCCATCCTGCCTCCGACACCGACCCCCACTCCGCGGCCTTTGCCACGTCCCTTAACCTTGCTGCCTCCGTTTCCCCAGCAGAAAGTAACAACCCTTTCCTCCGAGGCATCTCACGAGCGTAATCCCTGTGTGCAAACCATCAAGTCACAGCCACCGACGGAGGAACGGCGTGTCCTGCGTCCGCGCCGGGGCCTGGACTACGAGCCCCTTGGGGTCCATTGCAGCCCCATGCGGAGCCGGACGAGCTGGGGAGCTCACAGATGCCTGCGGACACAAAGGATCCCCTTGTCATCCTCCGGCCCACCCCCTCCTCCAGGCCGGGGTAGGGCCAGGATCCGACCGCTGTGTGCGGAAGCCAGATGCAAACGGGGCCTGGACCTGGGCTTGGAGGAAAAGGGGCTCCAGCCGCTGTTGAGCCGGGGAGCGGGGGCACGGCCTCTGCGCCACCTCCTCGACCCTGCGGCTAGGGACGGACGTGGCACAGAAACCGGATCAGAACCTGGTTTAAGCCCGTCATGCAACCGACGTTCAGCGCCCAGAAACCGGTTTGAAAATGGCTTGACAGATCTGGGTTGAAGTAGGTTATGCCCCGTCTGTGCCGGACCCAAACGTCAGAGGCTGCAAGCGAGGGGGAAGGCCCGGGTCACCCCCCCGGGCGACGCAGGCCTCGGGCGGGCTCCTGCCCGTGGCACGGCCGGCGCGCCCGTCTGCGCGGGTGGCAGGGACCAGCAGGTGACGCGCTCGAGGCTGCACAGCGGGCCGGTGGCAGAGCCGGGCCTCCTCCCAGGACAGGCCCCGGCCTGCCGAGGGCAGCGGGACGAGCCAGGCCCTGCCACGAAGGCGAGAGCGGCCCGGGCACCCGGGCCGGCAAACAGCCCCTGCAGCTGCCCCAGGGGCTCTTCATGGGGCATTTAGCCAGCCCGGTGGCCCGACTGATCCCTGCCGGGCGCAGGATCAGCTGCACCGTAAGCGTGGCGCGTGTGCGCGCGTGTGCGCGCTTCCCTTGAAATGCGGATATTCAGCTGAGCCCGGCGTGCCCTCCTCTGCTCAGCACGCGGGCAGGCGCGTGCAATCTTCCTGGGCACCAACGTGTCACGCGCGCGTGCGTGTTCGTGGCGTATGAGCGGGGGGGGGGGGTGCACTTTGGTACGTGTGTCCGGGCACAGGCACTTCATGCGTCTGCGTGCATGCAGCAGTGTCTGCGTGCCCGTGCGCTGACACGCGTGTTCGTGTGCCCGGGTGGATGGGGGGGGCGTGTGTACGCGTGTGCCTGCGGCGGTGTGAGCGCATCTGAGCACACGCGTGCTGGTGTGAGCGGTGCGCCCCCAGCCCCGCGCACGTGTGCCAGTGCGCACCCAGCCCGGGCACCCCCGGGCACACGCGGCC